TCTTCAACTAGCTGCACCTTTACCAGCTTTGGAGACATTTCATGATCAATAATTATAAAACATATCATATATATTATTCTGAAATGGACCAATCTGCACAATGACTACTTTTACTCTCGCTACTTTGAGTATATTTTGATGCTAATACTTTTTTAAATTTGACTAGAGTAACATTTTGAATGCAGGACTTTTATTGTATCACTTCCACCTCTGCACTGTATAAATACCCCAATTCAAGAAAAAGTCCTGCATTTGAAAGGTTAGTTTTCGGTAAAAGTACTGATAGCGCACTGTAAAGAGGCTCCAATACAATCATTTTATTTCAGTCAGAGATGGTTCAATCGTATAAGTGCTTGTAATTGTAGTTTTCTTTGATTGACCTCTTATGGATCTGAACTTGTCTCTCCACATTTATATGAGCAACTCTATTGCACAGTTTATTTTTCTTAAATGAGACCTGCACTTCAAAAAGAGTTGAAATAATTGATTCATAACACAAAGCACAACCCATATAGCACAAAATCACATCTGATTTTATCAGCACAATATTCAGTCTGCATGTTTGTTTGCTTTTTACAGACTGCGTGGGTCCCGTGTGCTCCTGGCAGGATTAGGGGGTCTGGGGGCCGAAGTGGCCAAGAATTTAATCCTGGCTGGAGTTAAAGGACTCACTTTGCTGGACCATGAACAGGTACAGATGTTCTTTAAGTAAAGTTTCATAAAAACACGCTCAGGTGTTTGCCCTGTGCTCAGTACAGCTCACTAAACGGAGCCTACAAGGGGGCATGGCCTTCAGACGAAATATAAAAATGTTTATATTCAGGTATCAGTTCAAAACCTGTGTTAAAAAGTATATCTATAACTCATAGAAATATTGGAATAGTAAATGGGCCTTATGTGGCCCCTTCAGTCTTTGTAGCACTGTTTGTCCACTAGATGGGGCCACTGGCAAAGTAATGATTTGAACTTTTAGTCAGGAAGCAAAACAGCTATTTTAAATAAGGTTTACAGTGATGATATTTCAATAACGGCTTCGTTCTGGCTTCGTTTCACAGTTTGAATTGATTACAGCCTCTCACTATTTAAGACTATATTTTGTAAAAGAACATATATCCAGTGGAGATAAATGTTCACACTGTGTGTGTCCGTGTGTGTTTGTCCGCGTGTGTCCGCGTCCACCAGGTGTCAGAGGAGTCATGTCGAGCTCAGTTCCTAGTCCCGGTGACGGCTCAGGGTCAGAACCGGGCCCAGGCCTCTCTTGAGCGGGGGCAGAACCTCAACCCAATGGTACAGGTCCACGCAGACCAAGACAGGATTCAAGACAAACCAGATGACTTCTTCCTGCAGTTCGATGCGGTGAGTGGAAACTACACTTTAAGTATTCAAATATTGACTGGTTATCTAAAACGCGCTTTATTGAAATGTTAAAGTGTCAGCAAATGAATCGGACATTACAGAGCTAAGCTGTATGATTTGACTTTAGAATATACACGCCACAATGACCATTTGTATATCAATTGCTCACCTTGTGTAAGCTTGAATTCTTGACGAACATTTTGTATTTTTGCATGCCACCATGATGAAAGAAGAATTAAAACACTGACAATTGTTAATACTCCCTCACTGCATGCATTTTTGCGAAAAACATTATTCAACATAAAAGTTCACATTTGCATAGGATTGCTACCCGTAAAGATCTCCTTTCAAAATAAACGCCTTTCTGGATTTTCTTGAAATCAGACAGATTTCACTTTCATTTAGCTTTCATACAAAACAACTTACAATAAGTGCAATCAACCATTTAGGATACAAATTCAGAGCAGCAATGATCCTGCAGGTACATTAGCTTTTAAAAAGTCAAATAATTTGTAATACTGTTGCTTTTAAAAACATCTTAAAGTATGTTTGCTAAAGATTTACCTCCTCTTGGGATACTGTATATTAGCACCCAGATTTATATCCCTCTCTTCTGCCACTAGATGTCTCCTGTAGCCCACATCATACATGAAGCTCTCCCTGTTCTTCTGTCAGGCTCCAGGAGCAAAACACCTGGAGGACTTCTCTGGGGCTGCATTATCAGTCGCTCTAAGCAGACTAACTGTACGTGGAAGATTTACGTTTTTAAGTCAAGTCAAGTCAACTTCATTGACAATCTCAAAATATCTTTGTACACACAGAAAGATCGAAATACTGTTTTCCACAGCCCTGAGGCATAAAATAACACATTAAAATACAAGAACACTCAATAATAATTACAGTAAAAAAAGCACAAAATAACCGTTTACTTCAAGTTAGCTGAAGGTCAGTGTAGTTCTCTAACATGCTTGTAAGCTGCAGTAAGGCCACCCGCGCCTGGTTTGCTTCTAAAGTAGTGTCATGATAACAAGGCTTCTGTGCTAGGGAAAGTCAGATCAGTGTAAAGTGAGTCCTTATCGTATCTGGGCTGTGGAGAACGCTCACCATGTTGAAAAGATTGAATTAATCTTGTAATATATTCATTTTTCTTTAACACCACCTTACATTGGGCAAGGATTTATAACGCAAGGATAGAAGTGGCTGACGAGAATACAAAATATCTCAAACTCTGGCTGCAGGACATACTTGGATTTTGTGATTGATTTGCCTGACGCAGATGAAATAAGAAAAGGGCAAAAGGATTTATGTTACATATCTGATGATGTGTGGATCCAGGATGATGGGTTACATTCCCTGTAGTAGGACTTAATTCCTACATGTTATATCCATGGTAAAACATGACTAAACCAAATGACAATAAACTTTAACAAACAGTAAGATTATATTTGAGTTGTTAAACCAGCATAGGCTGCTGGTTTAACAACTCAAATATAATCTTACTGTTCGTTAAAGTGTATTGTCATTTATTGTTAATTTCTCAGTCTTAACTTTAGACTGAGAAATGAGGGGTTTGCCTTGATTTCCAAAGGCAGCTATACACACATCTCAAGTTGTGTCGCTACTGAATGTATTTGAACACCATCAGAGGAATGACGGACATCTTTTATCCTCCCTTTCTGTCTGAATTATCAGCAGTCTGCTCCCTCTGGGGGAGTCAGGGGAGGGTCAGCAGGAGGGGGGAGGCGGAGGACGGTGAAGTGAGCGCGGGATGAGAGGGATGTTAGTAGGACACAGGGAGGGAGGGTGAGATGCTTGGAGAATAGAAAGAAGGACAATTAAAAAAGCCTGGGATAAAATAAGAAATGGGAAACAGAGGGGGGTCTCTCTCTCTCTCTCTCTGCTGTAGACCAGGCATCACTTTAATCTACTTCCAGGGATGTGTTTGTGAGCGGCTCAGAGGAAGATGGAAGGAGAATAAAGTGGAGTGGTACAAGAGTGTTCATATGGGAGGCCTAATTACTGAGCAGTGACAAACAACACTTAAACACATAATGTCTCTCTGGGTATGGCTGACCTGCTCCTGATATAATATAGCGCGTGGAATTTTTTAGTGTGTGCACGTGCGAAGTGCGCCCCGCCAATTTCTTTCTATGTGTCAGCACAAGAAAGGCTCTTGAGGCCTAGTACCAGGGCCGGTTCTAGACAATTTGCTGCCCTAGGTGAGATTTTAGACGATATATGAACATAACCAATAACCTACCATAGCCAATAACAAATAAATGTAGCTTATTTTATTTTTGTTGTTCATTCATATCTTATTTTACCTAGTTAACATTTATTTATTTATGCATATTTTTGTATCTCTCCAACTTTAAACGATATTTTTGGTTTACTGTCCTATAGTATACATTTGAATGATTTCAAACCTGTTTTTATTTATCCTAATAATTATAAAGGAGTGCCTTGGAAATATGTGTTTACATAATTTGTGGTCAAAACGTTTGAGACCCACTGAGATGACTCAAATGAACTATCTAAATACTCAGAGAGTCCTTAACCTCACTGAGCCTCTCAGTCTGACAGGAGAGCTCTCCTCCACCCTGGTTGTAGAAACATCTACTTCTTATATCCGTTAGCGCAGCTAGCACCAGATTCAAATAACAACAGCGCCGGTACCGGTGCGCCCTCTCCCTTGCTTGCTCTCTCGCTACCACGCTCGCACTTTGGCTGTGAGCTGCGGGCGCCTGATAAGCCAACATCCCCCACTTTCATCACTTACAGCGCCCACCGTACAGGGCAAATTAAACGTGTAACCGGGGTGAAAAGGGTGTTACATTTACTTAATTATGAATGTTGTTACATCTAGGCCGAACATTTGGACGAGCGCCAACGGTCTAAAATGTTTTTTCCCTCCCAGAGCTACCAGCGCAGCACCCCCCAGATCTGGCGCCCTAGGCGACCGCCTGTGTATTATGCCAGAAATGGGCCCTGCCTAGTAGCCTACATACAGTGGCAATGTCTCAAGATTTAGCAAAAATACACCTTACACCATACAGTAACACAAATACTACAAATCCACATAACAAACAATCAAAAATGAAAAAGAGTCGCCACTTATTATTTATTTTTTTGGTACCTGGCAGCGGTGCTCATATTTCAGCAGCGGCGCTGCGCCGCCACTATTTGTATATAGGGGAAACACTGGCATTTCAGGCAGGGGGGGGGAGTGTGTGGGAGAGAAACTCCCTCTGGAGGGAACACAGGGATTTGAGCCATTGCAGACCATTTACATGCACACAAACCTTTATAACACACTACAGGAAAGGGAAAATACCCAAAGCGTAATATGGCCTATTTAACCCGCTCAACAGACCTTTTAAACTAGTTATTTTTCTAATTGATCCTCCTTAAAAAGTAAATATTTGTGGCTATATAAGCATTTCAATATTTCATTTGAAATAACCTTATTGTTAGATCTTATTTGATACTGTAGATCAGTGTCTCCATGGGACTGCATGGCTCATAGTAAGACTCATCAACAAAAGGTTCTCTTAGCCTTTAATGCCATTTTTCAGATTTCTTTCCATCCCTTCCTTATTTTTCTGATGCTCTTATCACATGCTCGCTCTGTGTCTTAATCATGTTCATACATCCTTTGTAAAGAGGACAGAGCTGGAGGTTAATGGTTCGGGGTGTAAATAACAAGCTTCATCATGATATGATTTTATATTGATTCTTTGGACACCACTACAATTTATCACAAAGTATGCCCTGATACGATTTGGATTTCATTCCCCTCGTTGGGCCTACGATCAATATTTGCAAACCTAAATTGTATGACAAATTAACATCATCATTTACACAATTATATCAACTCACAAAAACCAACTTTATTATTTGACAACGAATTACTGGGCTCCTCAATTTTGTTCTCTTTTAAAAAATGGTTTACTGTATACAAATAGACCTGTTGCTCACTATAACGTGTCACATACAGTATCTCGTGTTAAGGACTGGAGGTGCGCTTGGGTAGACCGTGCCGTGGGAACTTGAACATAAAGGAGTAACTTTAGCATGAGGTCTAATGTTTTCACTCTGTCGATCATATTGGATCATGGAATTGAAACCCCCACTGATGTGCATCACGCAGGATATTTTGTATGAAAGATAAAATTAGGACGTTTTATTTGACCTGACATAGTGACAGACTGAGAATTGTTCTCAGCCTTTCTAAATACTGCAGATGGTGAGGTCTTTTACACACGGCCTCTATTGCACGTCTGTCTGTCCCGGGAGAGGGATCCCTCCTCTGTTGCTCTCCCTGAGGTTTCTCCCATTTTTCCCTTTAAACTGTGGGTTTTCTCTGGAAGTTTTTCCTTGTACGATGTGAGGGTCTAAGGACAGAGGGTGTCGTATTGTCATACTGATATTCTTTACAAACTGTGAAGTCCACTGAGACAAATGTAACATTTGTGATATTGGGCTATATAAATAAACATTGATTGATGGTCTTACTCTGAATACTCCTTGGGAACCCTGGACCCTGACCCTGGTCTGCTGGCTGCCCTGCAGGGTCTCAGGTGCAGGATCAGGTTATGAGTCTGGAGAGGTGTAGGTAGTACTGGACTGGGTCAGCAGGATGAGGACCCAGCCCCCCGGTCAGCTGTTACACCGGCCCACCATGGTGTTACTATGGCAGATTGTTGGCTTCACCATTGTTTGGTCATTTATTCAATGTACTGAACCCAGACCAAATGCAAACTTACTGAAGAATTTCAGAAGTAAACAAATCAAAATCAATCAAGACAGTGGAGCAGAAATATCATTTGTTTTGATATTTTGCGTTTTTGCTAGCAGTTTCAGTGTTATGTTAATGAGGATTGAATTGAGCACATTACAGCACAAAGGCCGAGAGGGAGAAGGTGCCATCCCAGTCTCATACATGTTTCTTTTTAAGAGAGTAAAGGTGCTGAAAGGTAAAGCTCAAAACAAATGTATATAAACAGTACTACTTACCAGATTAAAATTACGTTTTTTGGAGGGCCCGCACGTTCATTCCCATTCTCGTAAGGGGAATATCTCAGGAATGCTTGGAGGGAATTTCTTTAAATTTGTCAGAAACGTTCAGGAAAAAGTTAACAGAATTTGGTGGTCAAAGGTCACAAACACTTTTTTGATGTTGGATGGATGTCTGGTAGTACTGGTAGTCCATGTCTAATCAGCAGAACTCTGACGGTGTCTTCTCCCTCAGGTGTGTCTGACAGGCTGCTCCAGAGACCTGATGGTGAGAGTGGACCAGCTCTGTTCCAAGCACAACATCAAGGTCTTCTGTGGGGACGTCTACGGTTACTATGGTTACATGTTCTGCAACCTGGGAAAGGAACACAACTACGTCGAGTAAGTGTGGGCGACCATTCGAAGTGGGTGTAAACGGTTTCCTCATCTGGAGCTGCCCGGTATTAGTGCCTTGCTCGAGAGCACTGCAGTAGCGCTGGGGGATTTTGTTATAGTAATTCTGCAGGACATAATAAACGGATGAGGCCAGTGCCTACTTCCAGCTGACAACAACACTTTTTTACCAGCATCATATTAGCTCACAAATAGGCCCATATGTACGGTAGGTGTTATTATTTTATTTGTCTATTTGATTACCAAAAACATTTTTTAAATTGTGTGTCTTTACTGGTACAGAGCCTTGATGTCTAGGAAAGGATTTTATATATTGAAAATGCAGTATATTAAATGCTATCAAGTATGTCATATTGAATATGTTTTCATTATTCAGCCCAACACTGCTGCATTAGTAGTGCAGTGTTTTACTCTGCACTGATTCCATTGGGAGATCCATTCTAATGATTGATGACATGACATAGTTTAACGTTGCTTTTGATTCGTTTTTAGTTACACATATGATTAAATGGAAAAGCAATATATTAGTTGAGTTAAAATAGGGTTTAAGTTTGGTGAAAGTGGAATGTTTGTGAAATGTTTATCTTATATGGTGGCATGGATTTCATTTGGGAATTTTAATTATGACATGTCTTCTTCTCGCTGCAGTCAAAATGAACTAACAGGTTGCTTGTATGTCATGTACAGAAGAACCTTTCAATGAGCTTGATATGGAATATAAAACTGACTGTTCAGTTTCCTGATATGTAAGATATTTTTCTCTTCACTCTGTTACTTTTAGGGAGAAACCAAAACTGGTTAAACCGAGTTCTAGCGATGGTCCAGAGGCAAAGAAAGCAAAAGTGGACCCCAATGAGACCACCATGGTGAAAAAGGTAAAAATATGTTTTAGTCTTTAAACCAAAAGATTAAAAAATGAGCCATGCATAAAGATGAGTTCCATCTATTGGGTTTAATGGAACAACAAGAGTGATAAATGAAATGACATCTTTTAAATGGGGTTGGTCTAAGAAATGTGAAGATAGGAGGAGTGGAATTTAATGTAAAGTTACACAGAATGGAAAAAAGTGTTGTCTTTTCACATCTCTAAAAATAAATGCTATTTTTGTATTGCTTTCTGTTGTTTCTAGTTTGTAAAGGGCTCGCATACATAGTAATCTACACAACTAAATAGTTTCCCCTAATCAAATGACCGGCAGGCTTATTTTCTTTATTAAGATGATGGTTCTCCTCCTGTTTACCTGACTTTTTAAAAACCTCTCTCCACCAGACGGCCTCTTACTGCACCCTGAAGGAGGCTCTGGAGGTGGACTGGACCACGGAGAAGGCCAAAGCCGGGATGAAGAAGACCCCAGTGGACTACTTCCTGCTTCAAGGTGCTTAGGGCAGCATCTCACAAAGAGTGCTAGAAGAAATCGTTATTCTGTTGATCAAAATCAGATTTTCACATAGATTCTTTAACCTCTGGATACTGCTGATGGGTTTCCTTTTATTTGAATAGAAGAAGAATACATTCTTTATTAATCCCTTACAGGGACATTTCTTTCTCCACTCTGTTTGTCCACATTACACACACAGGGAAGATATACATGCACACACACAACCACATGCAGATAGGAGAGGTGGCAGAGCAGAGAGGCTGGCAGATCCAGGTTAGGTGCCTTGCTCAAGGGGCAGAACTGGCACCTCTACCAGCTCACTCTATCTTTTTTTGGTCCGATCAGGACTTGAACTGGCGACCCTATGGTTCCAAGGCCAAGTCCCTACAGACTGAGCCACTGCCGCTTCCAGACAACAACCGAATAAGATGAAAATGTCATCAGTCTAACTATTAGATAGTGGATCAAATAAGTCATTGCGACCCCAAAATATCAATTTTTCTAGGTTTAAAAAAAGAGATTGACATTTGAAAATTTGCTAAATTATTTATTGGTGATATTTTTCAAATGTAGTCACTATCTTTAATTGTTTAAAATATGATGCTATACAATAACAAATAATAACTAATAAAAAAACACTTGTCTTTTTTTCAGGACTTTGTGAAGATATTATAAGGAACTTTACTCTCAGATTATGTTTTTATGGAAAGTGATAATATCTATTTGAAAGTCTTCTGACCTTCCTGTGTAGGAGGCAGGACACAGGAACAGAATTTCCATACAGAGAATCGATCAAATACAACACATATTCTGAAAGGTCTAAAAGAGATTAGAAATTTGAAACTGAAAATGTGTAGGAATCCTGCGACAAGACTGAAACCCCACGCACATGCAAAGTCACATGTTCTGATTCAGCTGATCATTTCATGAATAAATATCATTCCAGAGAGAAGATGAACGCTGTTTCATAACCAATTAAATAACCAGTTTGGTAAAAGAAATATATATATTGGTACGCTGAGCTGCACATGAAGAACAGTCTGTGACGTGTTTAGGAACCTTTTGAGCCTATAAGTAAATCTTGAACGTACCTTCCTGTTTTTCAGGTTATTAACGTGTCTGATGACCTTTTTAAAGAGTTGTTTTTGTCCCTCCCGTCACCTGGCCCTGCCCCATCCTCACACTCCACACACACTAGTTTCCATCACAGGCTGTCCATGGCCAGTCATGTGCACTGAGCGTAGAGAGCAGCCTGACAAATACCTCCACAGCAGGAAGTACCCTGACACACACAGTGATTTATCAAAGCATTTCCCTGCATGATTGTTATTAATAATATCATTGTTTTAAACTTTGGCAGGATGCATAGGTCACAAGTTATAAAATAAAGTTATGTTCTACTAGTGTGTATCATATTTAAATGTTTCATATTATTAAAAATATTACTCTCTAATTAGATTAGATGTATATACTTTACTTTATTGATTGATTTTATTTGTCACAGCAGCATGTGGTTAACATGAGTTAGAAATATCCAAATGAAATGAATCAGCAAATTCATACATATCAACAGTAGAAAAGATTGATATGAAATGAGTAAGAGTATGTTTACTAACATGAGTTAGTCTCCTTTAAGAAATCCATTCATTAACGGATAAGATGACAGTCTCACCTGTCTATGCATTTCAAGTTGTTTCTTGTAAAAACTTTTTCCATTTTTTGATTTGTCTTTTTTTATGCCGATTTATTTATTTCCATGGAAAAGTGGATATAAATATCAGATATAAAGTGGTGCTTTAGCGTGATTCTGTGGAATCCTCAGATTCACTGAACTTTCATTAAATCAACTAATCGTTTAAAAATAAATTACTAACAATTATTTAGATAATCCCAGCCCTAATATATTGGAATAATGTGTATTTTAGTGTGTCCAAACTTCAGCTGGATTAAAAAACACACATCAGCCTCCAGACAAATGCATACTATAATGTAATAAGTGAAACGGCACCTGTTAGTCTTTCACAAAGCTGTATGTGTGTATTCTCAAAGACTGAAGTTATGCAGGTGTTACTGATGACAGACATTTTGAATGCTGGCTATTCAACATGTTTGGAGGCTTTTTTTTAATCAGATCATTTTTTACAATACACTGAATGAAGAACATATTTGTTTTGTATCTATTTCTGTTTCATGGAGTTCACTGATCCCACAGTTTCATGATGGAAGAGTCTCTGAACCTGAATGAGATTGAACTCTCATCTTTACCAGATGGTCACATGGAGGAGGGGTCATTACTGACTCATCTGTCACCCATTATTTGCAGTACACTTCTATTCTAAACAGTGTTGGAATATAATTATGCACATTTACTCAGATATTTGATCTACTTGTACTTAAGTAAATCAGCTGGCAAATGCATCATCAATAATCTGAAAACAGACATTTTTAGAGACACCGATCACTGCAGACGTAAAATGAATCCAGAAACTCTTATAATAATAATAATAATAATAATTAGAAACTGACAGGGAACCTTTACTGGCCAATGAAGACTTTTATTGTTGATACTCTTACTACATTATGATGTTAAACTTCCAAAGTGTATGACCTTCAGTGCGCCCCGCCCGGTGATCAGCCTGACCTCTGAGTGGAAACTGGCCTGTTGTTGTTGTTTTATTCAGTGAATGTTAAACACAAGGCGCTGTTATTATTCCCTCACTGTTTCTATAATTAGAAGCAGCGGTTTTTGTTTTGGCCGACCAATGAGGAAGTGGCTCTTCCTCTGTTACAACTGCTTCCTGTCTGACTAGGAACTGTCAGGTGATGTGAAACGTGTGGGCGTGTATCATCAGATCACTGATCGTTGTCATTTTTTCATAAATTGACACCCTGACTAGACATGTTGACAGCAAGGGAAAGAAAAGATGAATCCTACTGTAGCGGATAAATAAAGAAATGAAACTCTAAATATAACTGCTGCTGGGGGAAGCAAATCTTACGCAGGAAAAGAGTTCAATGTCCAGGCAGAATATCGTTTCCTCGGTTCATTTTGTGGAATTCCAATAATACAGAACAATGGTTTCCACTTTGGAAACAGCTAGAAAATAAATGTTTAATAAACTTTAATTACTAATGACATCATTAAATCTACAGCTCCAACACCTACATTCATATTTGGAAAACACACTTTTTTCTTGTTTATCACAGTGTGCAAAATAAGTCAGTCAGGAGAAAGAGATTTAACACATTTTGAAAAAAACACATTTTAATAGAACTCATCAGAACTATCTCTCCCTGAATATCTATTTTTTCAAATGTTTAGAGGACATAAGATCATGGACTACATTAGCAGATTTTAACGTGAAAGGCCTTTTGGAATATTTCTCCATGACCTTAATCTGGGGACGTTCTATGCATCATAAATCATGTGTAGGTTTAGAGATACCATCGTTGTTCCATCCAAGGGCACATTATTATATTCTGTTATGAAATTCAGTTTGATTTCCTGCCTGGATGGTGTGATGCCATCTGTGCCAGTCTTTTACTTTCACTAACAAAAGGTGTGTGTGTGTGTGTGTGTGTGTGTGTGTGTGTGTGTGTGTGTGTGTGTGTGTGTGTGTGTGTGTGTGTGTGTGTGTGTGTGTGTGTGTGTGTGTGTGTGTGTGTGTGTGTGTGTGTGTGTGTGTGTGTGTGTGTGTGTGTGTGTGTGTGTGTGTGTGTGTGTGTGTGTGTGTGTGTGTGTGTGTGTGTGTGTGTGTGTGTGTGTGTGTGTGTGGATGGAACACGCTGATGGAAATGGCCGTGGGAGGACTCAACTTCCTTATGTGGTTTTAATGTACTGGACGAACAGGATACATGTGGGCGGCGTGTTGATGTGTTTGTGCATAGTTTAAAAATATTTCTCATCATCAAATAAAGTGCTTGTTTCAGATTTTTCTTCAATCCTGCATCAGACACGAAAGACATGTTTCTTTCTCAACCTAATATTGCCTGGCTGCATGTCTCTAGGTGTGTGTGTGTGTTTGCAGTCTGTGTGTGCACGCTCTTAATTTGATGTGGGGAAACGTAGGCCTAATCAGATGAAGCGGTTGATGGGGCAACCACACACAGATCTTATCCTATGTCAGCGATAAGACGTTGTCTTTCCATAAGTTGATCATTCACCGTGGCAGTCTCTTGAAAGGGTGATGAAATTATAAATGGCAAAAGTGCAATAGATTATACGGAACATAGGAAGATGTTTTAACTCGTTTTCCAGCCTCTTAACCATCTGCTTCTGTTCCTTCTCTCCGTCTCCACAGTTCTGCTGAAGTTCCAGACAGACAAAGGTCGTGACCCCGACCCCCTGTCCTACCCAGAGGACAGCCAGCTGCTGAGACAGATCAGAGAGGACGTGCTGGAGGCGCTGGCCGTGAGGAGTGACCTGCTGAACGATGACTTCATCAGGTACAACGCCTCCTCACTTCCACACTTTTATTTTAAAAGTTAGATTTTTTGTTTAATGGCCTTCACTTATACTACACACTAATATAACATAACATTTTAATAAAAAACAAACTTGTACTTCAAACTTACAAAAACACACACCCTTAACTTGTACTGGTAATAAATGGCATACATATCAAATAAATAAAAAAGAAGAATTTCACAATTCCCTTCCAGACACAGTCCACATTCCCTTGCCTCATAATGTTCATATTCGGTTCCTACAGCTGAACAAAGTCTTCCCGCTTGCCTTTAGCGATGTATGTAAGTGTTCTAGACCAGTGGTTCCCAACCTAGGGGGCGCCAGGCCTCAGAGGATTTGAGGCCAAATATCATATTTAGACTTTTTTTTTTACATATAATTGTAATGCAATATATGATTGTCACTAAAAACCCTTGTCTCTACAATACAATAAAATATAAAAAATAATTAATTAATTTGAGTTAGTAGCTATTATAGGCATAAAAAGTCAAGTGTCCAAACNGCATTTAATACCTTTAGTTACTTTTCAGATCTGGATGAATGATGTGAAATCTAATCAAGTGTTAAATCAGACTTTAGTTCTTGTGACTTTACTCCAGGTGGAACTAAAGTCTGATTTAACACTTGATTAGATTTCACATCATTCATCCAGATCTGAAAAGTAACTAAAGGTATTAAATGCATGTAGTGGAGTAAAAGTACACCATTTACCTCTGAATTGTAGTGAGGTAGAAGTACAAAAAGTAGCAACAAATGGAAATACTCAAGTAAAGTACAAATACCTCCAAAAGTACAGTACTTGAGTAATTTTACTTAGTTACTTCCAGCATTGATACAATGTTGTATTGGTACTTTTATCTTGATGTAACGTTTTGAATGCAGGACTTTCACTTAAAGTAGGGTCAAAACAGTGCAGTTAAAAAAGTATAAATTGCAAGATGTTCTTTTAACACGAAATAGCCTAGGTAGGAAGTCACAAGCAAAGAACAGTGGAAGATACTTTTTTTCCTCGGTTCCCAGGATATACTTTCACATTATAATCTCACATTTAAATGGAAGACATCTTTTTGTAGTGAAGTATTTATTTTACACAGTGTGATATTAGAAGCTTACGTCTGACGTCAATAAGTAACATTTTACAGATCTGATGGTGTCACCACTGATAGACAATGCAAAGATCCCGACCTATAGATATTCTAAAAGAGTACTCCAAACAGTGGCTACTCCAATGAGGAAAAATCCCAATGGGCCCCACTTTTGTTTAAGATCAACGCTTTGGACAAATGAGCAAAAGTGTGTCAACTGAAACTTTCGGCTGCAGAGATTAGCCTGACATGCTAACGGAGCTAACTGACCTCTTCTGGGCATCCAGCCCCCACAGGCGGATCTGCCGGTCGTACTGCGCCGCCTCCTCCTCGCTGATGACCGGGTCCTCTTTCTCGATCATATCGATCATATTTGGTCACTGAGTATACGGGAGTTACGGCGTAAATGAGCTTTGCTTAATGCAGCTAGGTATAAGCAGGGTATAAGGATGTTTAAAATGCCGCGACAGTCCCGCTGAATGGGCGCTGGATGATGACGTCAGTAAAACAAAACGTAATGTGTTTTCTCGAATTTTATTTCATGGATTTTCAGTTTATCGAGGTTCTCGATTTGTTTGTGTCATACGTCCCCCCGAATTTTATATGTCTTTTTTTTTTTTAATGGTTTATATTTATTTGTAAAGTTGTTCACAGTCCTAGAAACACCGAGGAATTTATTTCGATGTTGCTGGTTTGTAATTAATGCATCGGCCACTGCAACAATACAATCTACATTTAAGCATGAGTGTAAGGTATGTTAAATATTAGACAATTTTGAACAACAAATATTGTAAAAAATAAGTCCTAAGTGATGAAAAAGGGCAAAAGTTAAAAACAAAGAAACAATAAAGGTTATTTAATTCCATGACAGAATTATGCATAAAGGAAATTAGATAAATACCCAAAGAAATATATAAATATATATGACATACCCCCTGAAAGAGGGGGGAAACTTAATCCGATATAATATTAAGGGAGCACAAATTAAGTAATGTTTAAATATGTAGGCCTGGTTCTGTTTGTTAAAATTATGTTTTTTTCAAAAAGTATTTTATTCATGTAAATTGTCGCTTAAATAATGAGCACATTAAACACAGTGGACTGAGGAATTTAAGATTTTTTAACATTAATAACAAATTGTATTTATCAAGTAACGTTTCCCAAAAATGTTTTAAGATCCAACTAAAAGTCCAAAGCACTGTAAGTAATGTTTACACTATTATAGCATGTGCACTGTATTACAAAAAACAGGAACATTTGTCTTCCATTACCCATACAAATAGTATAATTTATTTTGTAATACGAGTTTAATTCACTTTTTTTTTTTTTTTGGTACAGTATTCCAAGTGCTACCATCAAGAGCTCAGTCTGTCCATGTCTAATGATGTTAATGAAATAAGTGAGTTTCTGATGTGACATTGATTACAAGAACGTTACAATTCAAATCTTAAAGACAATTTACAGTTAAATGTCTAAGTAAACTGATTCTTTAAATATCATGTATGCCTAACCACTACAGTGCGCTACAGCTGCACTTTCGAGTCAAACCCGGGGGCTCATTTTACCCTGTGAGTATCTTTACTCGGTAATTTCCGTGAGACGCGAAAAAGAACGTCCTTCGTCGTTACGTCATCCTCGGAGAAACCCACCTCCCTTCTCTTAGGAGAAGATTGTCGGCCATTTTAAGTTCATCAGTCGTCATTTCACATCGCAACTGTAGGACGGAGAACGTCAGGACTCAATTTCATCATATTTCTCTTACAACTGTAGTGGAGCATTGCCTACTATGAACTAAAACTCTACCTAAAATCAAATCAAGCAGATCATAGTGAAGTGACGCATAAGCCAGTAGATTCCAGTGTCGAGTTGTAATTTTTTGCACCTCAATGTAGCTAGAGGAAATGGCTGTGGAAAGCATGACTGTCCATCCAAACTCCCCAACTACCAACCACGAACACAACAGTCTCCTGACTGACGAAAGGTCGAGTAATTCTACAATCATATTTAAATGAATTTATTTATTTGTCCTGTGCTTTTACACAAAAAGCCCGGGGTTTCTTTTTCTTTTTCTGTCAAAGGGATTAAACTCGCCTTTTCTGGAAAACGAGTACAGAGGTAAAGAACGCCATGTTGACACGACACCGCCAACTGGGAGGCCAAATAGCACCTGGGATAACGTTATTGTTCCCTCTATTTTATTACGTTTTCACAATCAACGATCATTCGACTCGGCCAACTGGTCAGAAGATAAAAAAAGGAGGTCGAAACCGCTGATTAACCCAACGTTCACCGTCATTCTAGCCAATTCAACGGTTATAAAACATCGCTTAGTTACTAGCCCCATTTTAAGAACAGACAGCTTATTTAGCTTTTAATTAAATTAACTGTGTGTGGTGTTAATAACTATATTGCCGCAGATGCCAAACAATCGCAGCGATTGTCTTCCGCTAACGTTGGGCCTATTTTGTGGCTAACTTAGCAACATTAGCTTTTTGGCTAATGTGACCAACTTACAGTTGGAACGAAATGCTAAGCTAATGGCTAATGTTTTGTTATTCGTGGTTCTTACACATTGACGTTTTCAAATATCTACATCTTGGAATTAAACATAACGTTAACTAATTCGTTCATTTCGCGTTACTTAAACGTTACGATATTACGAAGCATGTCCCATAATTAGCCCTAACGTTGCGCACTTAAAAATAGCCATGTCGTCTTTTAACGCATGTAACATAAGAAGCTTATTTTAGCCCTCAGTTCCCCTTAGACGATTGTGTCTTTCCCCACGTATTAATTGTTACTTATCTTCAAATGTCAAAGTAATTATTCATAATTTGTGTAGCCTTTGAAACGCGTATGTGCTGCCTGCTGTCATTGATATTTGTTTAACATCAGTTTTATTCACAGTCGTGCCCACACTGACTCGTCCCAAAAATCCACAAAAGTCCCCAAAAGTGTGTAAAACGTATGCAAAGCATCCCAGAAGTGTTTAAAGTCAAACACAAAGTTCCCTTTTTCCACCTCCCCAGTTGGCAAAAGTACAGTATGGTAATCAGTTGTCCCCATTTACCAGTCCCACAGACCCCAATAGTGTCCCTAAAAGGTTAGGGAAAAGTTTTTCAATGGTTTTGAGCGCAAAATGTGAAGGAACCCGGTCACAGTAAGTATTCCCCATTTTAATCGTGGCCCTTTGCTTATAGAGATAAGTTACAATCTCATACACAGAGCTAATAATGTACCATAATGCATGGTTAAGCATTTTGATTGAATCATCCTTAATAGATGGTATTAATCCTGTTCTTGACATTTTCAGAACTTCTAACAGTTGTCTTCTGGTAGTGAAGGTTCAGAAGTGTTACCATTTGTTTGATCTAGTGTTAATGGATATACATGGAATTTAGTTTGGTATAGACTATGTGGATAACAGATCTGGAATTAAATGTACTTAGTTGTCAGATACTTGTTTAGGGTTAAAGTTATCAGTTAAGCCTGTGTTTCTTTCAGCTCTGTTAAACACATGTTTTGTTGGTAGATATTAACTCTAAAGTCTACTGGATGGACGTGCTAGTTTTGTGGCTGAGCACAGAGAAATGTGGATTGACCTTTTTTGCATTGTACGTTTTTCTGGTCGTTGTTGGCAGCAGGTAATGTGTGTATAGTATCACATCAGGCCAGAGAGGCCACCAGCTTCTGCCTGTAGATAATCCTAGCCCCTCCCTGTTCATAAAACCTGCTTCAGTAATACAGCATAATCCAGTGTCCATTGTGACAGGTCTGTGTCAGACTCCAACAGGTTGTGGTTAATGAACCGGCTTCATAACATGTCAGTAGTGAGGTAGAGGAGTTACTTGCCTCTTGAGATGATACTCATGAGTTTGTGGTGTTTAAGGCGGGAAGATCAAAAGTTAACCAGCTGCTGCAATGATCAAATACACAATCTGAGACTAAGCTTTTGTATTGACCTCCAATGTGCCCAAAAATGTCCTAGATTATATTAGACATAGATATAACATAGGGCTGATCACATTATTATGTTTATGGAGCAACTCCAATTTTTGCTGTGTGCTAATAATAACAGGTTAACTAAACAATCTGGATTCCGTTGCTGTTTGCAACCCCCAACTACCTTAAATCTGAAAGAAGATAATCATTGTTTTAAGTCTATCATAGAATTTGGTAAATTTGCGGCAGGTTTAATTCTATCTGGATTAGTCTCAAAATACTTTTACAAGTGGACCTCCGATAGGGCTAACGAAAACATGTTAAACTTGATTTTACAAAGTCTGTATTGTCTGACAGAATGTAGCTCACTTCAAATACGTGTTGTGTAGTTCCTAGGACTTAATAGCATTCATTGGTAGTTGGATACAAGTTTGTGTATGGCTGTATGGGCATGGCCGTATTGCTCTGGCAGATGAACAATTTGTTTGTGAAAGAAATGAATCACAGATATTAAGTCCGATTATTGAGCCTCCCTCAGAGGAAGCTGGCACGCTGAGGATGTGGTGCGGAGCATCGTACACACTAGCTGACATTTGCCTCAAAGCTAAACCCACAGCCCGCTTGTCTCATCCACTATATGCTCCTTATAGGACAGAACCAGTCTTTGAGTATTCAAATATTGCATACTAACAACACTTGTTCGAATCACTCAGGCCTCTCCCCCAGCCTTCTGCACACAGCAGTTATCAGCTTACCTTGCGTGTTAGTCTGTGGGACAGCCTAATCATAATTGCTCAATAAGAAGACTCAAACAATTTGTCTCTTTGTTAGTATAATGTACTCCTAGCTTGTGTCATTAATCATATAACATCCGAGGGATTAAACACAGCAGGCAAAACAGTAACCCATATAACCATGTCAAGAATCTTTATAGTTAATGGTTGGTTGTGATCAAGTGTATGGCATATTTTCTTAGAAAAGAGTAGCCTTCTGGTAGGGAAGAAAAAGTCCTGGATCCATAATGCTGAAGATTTGTATGTCAAACCATCACTTCTATTTGATTTTGGATTAAAAGCAGTGCAAAGCGTTAGTCTAAATGGAATACTTTCCCATTGTGTAGCTTAAATTAAGCATGTTGCCTTTCTGTATTAATACACTGTTGTCTCTTTAGCATGTCCCCCCCCCCCCCCC